CTTTCCGAGGATGCCACGATGTCTTCCAGCCGCGTGCAAATCCACCGCTAGCCCCAGATCGTCAGCCGACCTTCTCGGCTCCGACGACACGGGTTGGATGAAATCGCACTCATTGCTCCTAGGCATCCGTTGACACGCATGGGGCTACGAATATCGGTATTTTGCTCATTGTGCGCTTCTACCCGCCCGTAGGGAATAATCAGGGTAGGGCTTAGAAGAACGGCATCCACATAAGCCTCCACCCAAGTACGATCTTGTACAAGGTTGGTGTAGTCCCCGAGCAAGGGACTCCAGGTTTGCCACATCGGAATTACAGTTCAATCATGCAAAGAATGGGGGCATGGGGGCATGGGGGCATGCAATAAGAGTAATAATCCCGCAATACGCACATTATTGAAAACACAACGATCGTCGATGTCTCTCAGGCACATCGAGTTTAGACCCAGCCACAGTCCCGGGGAGCATAAGAGTGGATGACATAATTGCTGATATAATCTATTATGCCTCAGGCATCAACGAAGACTAAGCCGCGTAGAATAAAACAAAAACATGGGGAAACAACATCAAAATATTATATGCAAACATCAAACATTCAAAATTTAGACATCTAGAGAGATGGCCAATTTTGATTAAATCAAACTTGGTTTTATCCCCCAGACGAATGGGCTAGTGTTGCAGGCATGTCGACATCGGGTCAAGTCCAGTCTCGCTTCCAGACATCCATTGATATCGTCCGTCGACAAGCGTATCACATAGCGCCCGTGGCAGGACAGAAGCGACCACCAACAGAACCCAGAGAGCCCACAGAGCAAGTCCCCAATATCCCACCTCTTGGTCCAGTCGTAAAACAAGCTACTTTCCCTCGCCAAAATGTCAATCCAGACACCATATTGGAATCAGCTCCGTTGCAGTCTACCCGAGACCTGCTAACCGCCCCCCTCCATCGTTTTACTGCCAGCAATATTAATCCTGGTGCAGGCGTGGGCGCGGAGCCACCCCCAGATGATCATCAAAAGGCTGTGGCTGCGACTGCCCCGCCTTCCAGTCAGAATCCACTGCTATCCCTGTCTAATCCAAAGTATGGTCTGCCGCCTGCTCTCACGGCTAATTTTGCCGCACTCGGCGTTAGAAATATCTACCCGTGGCAGGCATCGTGCCTGCTGGCTAGGGGTTTGCTCTCTGGTGAACGTCATTTGGTTTACACGGCTCCGACGGGCGGTGGCAAATCCCTGGTTGCGGATGTGTTGCTGTTGAAACGCATTATCGAAAACCCGGGGCGTAAAGCGCTGTTGGTTTTACCTTATGTTGCTTTGGTTCAGGAGAAGCTCAAGTGGATGCGTCGCATTGTGCAAGATGTGGATAGGAATATCCCGGACGATGGTGACGACAAATTCCCTCGCAGGCAATGGAATAAACTACATAAGAATATCAGGGTGACGGGCTTCTTTGGTGGAAGTCGGACGACGGCTACTTGGGCTGATACTGATATCGCCGTTTGTACGATAGAGAAGGTGTGCACGATTGCCGTTTAGTGTTACTTGCAGAGTTCTGATATTCCTTTTCCTAGGCCAATTCGTTGATAAACAGCGCGATCGAAGAATGTAGCATTGGAGACTTGGGAGTCGTGGTTCTCGACGAATTACACATGCTCGACGACGAACACCGGGGTTATCTCTTGGAATTGATGGTCACGAAGTTGCTGTTATTACAGAAGGACATCCAGATTGTTGGAATGAGTGCCACGCTTTCCGTGAGTCTATGGTTGCAATCATTCGATGAAATGCTCTAACAGGTCTACAGAACACCGAGATGCTGGCACAATGGATGAACGCCAAGTTCTACATCTCCACATACAGACCAATCCCCATCGACGAATACTTGGTATACGAGAATGGAATCTACCCTGCTGCAACCTCGAGGCAACTGTTCCAAACGGCATCCAAGCTGACTGCTGCTGCGTCCTTACACGATACCATACCCCCGCACCGAATTATTGAACCTTCTACCTTCAAGCAGCTCAGCAACTCCGCCACAAATGCCATGGTAGCGTTAGCAGTGGAAACTGCAGCTGCTGGGTTTGGATCATTGGTGTTTTGTGGTAGTCGTAATGCATGCCAGATTCATGCCGCGACTATCGGTGAAGCGATGCCGCCAGCAGAGGCGGAAGAGTTGAACAAGCGACTCGATCTTATCGCAGAGCTGCGTAGTCTCGCTTGTGGGTTGGATCCGGCTTTGGAGACGACAATCATCAAAGGGACAGGGTTTCACAGTTAGTATTCTGACATCCATGATAGAGCTTTTAGTTTTACTAATGACTACTTAGATGCTGGCATGACCACCGAAGAGCGGGAGCTAATTGCACAGGCCTATGACCAGGGCGTGATCAAAGTCCTCGTGGCCACATGCAGTCTTGCCGCTGGTGTAAACCTCCCAGCGAGACGAGTCATCATAAACGGTGCGCGTATGGGCCGCGAACTAGTAGGTCCGGCCATGCTGTAGGGTGCCTCCTTCCTGGAGTTGGGGGTATGAGCTGACAAAAAACAGTCGTCAAATGTGCGGTCGTGCTGGCCGCAAGGGCAAGGATGATGCCGGCGAAACCTATCTCATCTGCGTGAAAGCTGATATGCAAGCTGTCTGCGATCTGCTGGACGCTGATATGCCAGCCATCGAGAGCTGCCTCGCACCGGAGAAAAGAGGCCTCAAGCGGTATGCATTTCCCGTCTCACTCTATTTTGTTGTTCCTAGAGCATTCGCTCACACCCCAAAGGGCTTTACTAGAAGCCGTGGCAACGGGATTGGTATCCGGCTGCGAGGCGATCAAAGAATATGTTCGATGCACGCTTCTTTACCGCACATTGGACAAGAAACTCGCCTACACCATCATGAGATCGGCTCTTCAGGAACTAGTCGACGAAGAACTTCTTATTTTCGGAGATGACGAATTCTACGAAGCCACGCCATTAGGACAGGCAGTCGTGGCCTCGGCATTCTCACCTGAAGACGGCCTGTTCGTTCACGAAGAGTTGAAACGAGCATTACAGGCTTTCGTCATGGACGGTGACATGCACATCTTCTACATGTTCACCCCGCTCCAAGCAGCCATGGACACTCCCATCGACTGGCAAATCTTCCGCGATCAACTAGACCGGCTAGACGAGAGCGGTCTCCGAGCTCTACAATTTGTCGGAGTGCAACCGGGTTTCGTCAACACAATGTACGTCTCCTTCCTACACATATCCACACACACCTCCCAACTCAGCCCATTCTAATCCTAAACTCCAACACCAGGGTTCAATCAGGTGCCTCGCTAAAAGAAACAAACCCAACCCAAATAAAACAAGCTCGAATCTACCGCCGCGCCTACACAGCCTTCCAACTCCGCGATCTCAGCAACGAAATCCCCCTCTCAACAATAGCCCAACGCTACCAAATCCCCCGCGGCACAGTCCAAACCCTAGCACAGCAATGCCACGGCTTCGCCGCCGGCATCGTCAAATTCTGCCAGCGCATGAACTGGGGCATGATGGCGGCCGTTTTGGATCATATGCGTGATAGACTTGAAGCTGGCGCGCGCGCGGATCTGCTCGAGATGGCGCAGGTTACTTTTGTTAAGAGTTGGACCGCGCGGTTGCTTATGGAGAATGGGTTCAGGAATTTGAGGGCTTTGGCTGAGGCGGAGCCCAAGGATTTGGTTCCTGTTCTTATGATGGTGGGTTCTTTTCGGACTTTTTTGCATGCCTTGTTAGAGAAAGTGTGTGTGATAATCTACTAACATGTCTCTGGTGTGTTTAGGCCAATCCCCGCAAAGCGCAGAAAAGTCAGCTTTATCCGACAGAGGCGGAGAGGTACACTGCGAAGGTGATGGCTAAGGCTGAGACGATCATTGCCCATGCGATTAAGATCTGGGGTATGTACTTCGTGATGAACACAGAATTTGTTTCGGATATACTGACGTGCATTGTTCACTAGAGCGAGAGATGCAAATCGAGATCGAGGAATGAATATTACAGTTTCATATACCCCAGTTCAATATTCCCTTAACGTCTATACCACATCCTCGTCACCTGCGTTCTCCGCATCTTCTTCTGCAGAAGAAAAATTCCCTGCAAAAGCGCCTCCGCAGTCGGTGGACATCCAGGCACATAAATATCCACAGGCACGATGCGGTCCACACCACGCACAACATTGTAACTGTAGTGGTAATATCCTCCACCGTTTGCACAACTGCCCATGCTAATTACCCATCGAGGCTCGGGCATTTGATCATATAGTTGTCTCACTGCCGGAGCCATCTTGTTGACTACCGTACCGGCTACAATCATCACATCTGCTTGTCGTGGTGAGGCGCGGAAAATAATGCCTAGTCGATCTTGATCGTAGCGTGGCATTGAGGTGTGCATCATTTCGATTCCGCAGCAGGCAAGTCCGAATGATAAGGGCCATAGGGAGCCTTGTCTTCCCCAGTTTACGAGTTCGTCGGCTTTTGCACTGGGTAGTAGAAAATGTTAGGACTAGATCAGTAGGGTTGTGAGTTGACGTAGTATTGAACATACAGAAGATACCCAGACGCTCCATCTTTCTGCCTTTCAAATGGTATGGGTGTAGATGTAGAGCTGCTAGGTTCTGAAGATGTGCGTAGGTATCGCGTTGTTGCGATGGTGGGTAAGAGACACTGTGACCATTGCTTTGGATTGGAGTGACGGAGTATGCTTCGAGAGGGTGAATTCAAAAGCATTATCACCAGCTAAACCTGAGGATTTTGCTATCTTGAGAATTCAAGTGTAAAAGATAGAATCAGCTCACTTCTCCCTCCTTGGAGAAGTTTTATAGTTATTTCGACGCAGCTGGTGTTGAGCATCCAATGAGAAGGCAGATACCAAGACGCCAACCAATCAGGCACGCAAAAATTCGGCGACTTGGTGGGTCCAAGCTCACCAAATTCGCCGAAATCAAGACGCCGAACTTACTACAATCAGACAACTGCCTTTCACAACTATTGAATGCCGCGCAGCAGTCCAGTCAAAGTCGCGTGTCGTGTATGCCATGACCGACGAGTAAGATGCGATCGTAGTGAAGGTGCCGCGTGTTCCAACTGCCAAACTGCCCGGCGCCAATGTGAGCTGATTATATCTCGGCGTGGACGGTAGGGCTGCAAATACCAAGCCATCATATTACGACTAATTCAGATGTAGGAAACGAAAGCTTCCTCTCCTACCCATTGAGGCAGGCACTAGCAAGGGCCTTCCACAGACCTCTTGTAATGTGTCGTATGAAGGAGTGACGAGTCCAAACCCACCTCTGGCCACCCATGCTCAAGACAATGAAGATAAACTACAACAAGAGCCATGTTTCCCAGCTCTTGGACCAAGCGGAAAAACGCCGTATGTTGGAGACACTTCTAATCTCAACTACTTGGTCCAACAATTTGGAAATCCTTTCGGGGGTACGACGGATGTTCGTCCACTTCAAGACCATCTCCATGGGGCAATGCTGGCTCGGTTGGGCAGACCGACGACGCAGGAAATTGAAAGGCTCCGCATATCTACTAGTGAAAGTCTTAACAGCCAAGGCGCATTTGATCTCCCGTCACAAGAGACCAGTCAGGCCCTTCTCGACGCTTACTTCCATTTTTCACTTGCTGCACTGCCTATTCTTGACTGGTCGAGCTTTCTCGTCTCTCTCTCGGAAGGCAAATTTTCGCACTTGCTCTTGAATGCGATTTACATCGCTGCTACTGTGTATTGTTCGGATTCAGTCATTGCTGATGCTGGATTTGTGTCCCGGTATGCTGCAAGTCTCACTTTTTACCGGAGGGCTAAATCTCTTTATGATGCTGGATATGAAACAGATGCCATCGTGACCATTCAAGCTACATTTCTTATGTGCTATTGGTGGCATGGACTCCTAGAGCATAAAGACCCTTGGTACTGGGTTGGTATCTCTGTGGGAATGGCCCAGGCTTTAGGATTGCATCAAGCGTGAGCCTACTCATCCCTCCATCGCGGACTAAGGGTAACCAACCAATATTCTAGAAAGTCATACATCCGTCTCGGAGACAAAGATCGAAAATTATGGCGAAGACTCTGGTGGATGATATATGTCAGTTATTGTTCACGAACCCCCAGGTCTATTGCTGGTCTGACTTTCTGTACCAGGCTATGGACATAAATCTCTCTATGTTTCTCGATCGTCCTCCACACGTACAAGGAAGACTTTGCAATGTTCCTCCTCTATCGGAAGCAGATTTTGAACAAGTCGGGTCTCAAGAGACAGAACCTTCCCGAGAAAGCTTCAATGAGGCAAATACCTTCGCGATAAATGCGGTGCAACTAGCTCGGACAGGTTCGACATCCCATCATCCTGTTTCGAAATGTACTTCCCTGCTAAGGAATATTACAGTGGATCGCTACTTCACTCTCAAATTCGAAGAAGATACCGGCCACTCACAAGATATCTGCTTAGAGCAAATTTCCTTGTGGGCTTCATCCCTTCCCCCGGAATCCAAGTCTTTGTCAACAAATAGTAGCAAATGGGCTATATTGACTCAGATATCATACCAGTAAGTTAACCTTCGAATGGACTCTTCAGAAGCCATTTATTCTGAGCATTGAATCCACAGGGGATGCCGACTAGTTCTACACCGAAGCAACCCAAGATTCTCTCTTAATACCGGACTAGACACCCCAACATTCGAGATATGCACAGAGGTCTCCCGTATGCTCGAAATACTCATGGCAAAGGATCTTCTATATGCAGCCGCAGCTACCATGTACGTTCCGTTCCCCCAATCCCCCCTGATGGGTTTGCTAAAGTCTTTCCAGAATTGCCCCCGTGCTGTCCGTGCTCTCAATCTATATAGTCAACATCCACAGAGGAGATACCGGTATCCAAATGATCTCACAGCATCGTGCGCAGTTCTGCATGCTGATACTTGAAAAGTTGCAAGACCGGTTCCCGGTCATTGCGGCCTTCTATCCGATCTTTGAATCACTGCTTAGGCGATTCTCTGCTGGTGCGCAGACACATGATGGAGCAGGGGTACCAGAGCGTCCGGTAACAGGATCTTCGATGCAAAATGGTCGTCAACTTGACGAAAGTGATATTGGTAGTATGAACACTACTGGGGGCTTGTTTGATCAAGCTCCACAAGATGGTATGGGCATGGCGTTTCCTTTCTCGTTTCCGTTTGGCAATCTTTTTGAAGATGTCTTTCTGAACTCGCATTCTCAGTCTACACCTTATTGTGAAGACGATATGTCTTATCCTGAATAATATTGCTGAATATCCATGGATAATCCATGGATTGATGTACAACATCTACGAAACAAAAAGCAAAGAAACCCCCAAAAAATAGACATCGAGTGCCATTCTCATATTTGCAATAGCATGGATGCAGTTTGTACATGATTTACAATCCCTAACGCCCCAGCCCAAGCGCCACGTAGATACAAACATAAGAGCCCGCCCACGAGCAGCGGAGAAAGTGGTCAACCCCAAAGACAGAAGAAGAAGAGAAGGATTCCGTTCTTCTTTTCCAAACAAAGAGTTCTACAATTCACCATGCCCACCATGGCGATGCTCACCCTCCGATCCTGGCGCAGCCATAAACCCGCCAGCGCGCACGCGCAGCGCGAAGTTAATTAAAATGATTACGACGAGTCCGACACTGACAACCGTCGGACCCCAGCGCTCGTAGTAGACGCGCTTGACGTCGCGACGCTTGCGGATCTTGTCGACGCGCCAGATGTACAAAAAGAGACTGTAAACGAGAGCGCCGGCGGCGAGGATGGTGAAGGCCCAGGAGGAGATGAGGGTGGCATTGTCGAAGCCGAAGTTTAGGAGGGTTGCGGCGATTCCGCCGAGGATGATGGAGAATTCTAACCAGGAGAGGAAGGTTCGCTCGGCAGCGAAGTAGACTTTTGGTTCCACGCGGATGGGAACGAAGATGCCTAGTTTTTGGTTAGTTTGGGTGAGGTGATTGATGCACGGAATGGTATGGATATGACGTACGTTTGCCGGGGGGAGCCTGGAAGCGCTGTAGGGTGCGTCGGTGGTTACTCAAAACAGCGATCCCACGCTGTTCGGGGGGAGGTAGGGATGTTGGCCGGGGGCGGGGGATTATCGCCATGAGACCCTGTGCGACAGCGTGACCAGTTTGAGTGAGGTAGTGTTTGGCTAATTGCTGCGCGTAGTACGCACCCCCTATGCGACGGGCTTCTTCGAGTTCGTCGGAATAGACCGATTCGTCGTCTGAGTCGTACAAGGGGTAGTCTTCGTCGCCAGGCAGAGGCTGGGCGGCGATGCGTTCTTCGATATCCAGTTCGTTGCCATTGGTCTCAAACAACCCATTTTGGTGCTCGGTGACGTCTCTGTTAGGTGTTTCTTGCGAATCAGGGGTTTCATCATCATCCGAATCTTCATCATTGGCGGATATTGAGGTACTCGCCAGCGGTCTGTGGATACCGAATTCACGACTAGCGGGTTTGCGGATGTCTACACCCATCTGTGGGAACCAGAATGGGAGCAAGTTGATGCGAGTAGGGAACATGGTGGCTGTTCCGTGGATGAACTTGCTGAATTTCGGGACTGCCTCAACCAAGTGACTGGCAGTCAAATCCCGAATCCACTGGGGAGGTTCTTGGCCCGCCTGGGTCTGCAGCTTCACCTCCAGTACGGCATAGGGGAATCGGTCGATATCCTCCGGGGGCAGCTGGGAGAATGGGAAGTCGACTCCGATATCCATACGACGCCAGTTCTTCCCAGACCGTTGGCGGCCGTCCAGGTTATCCTCTCGGATCATGGTCAATTCCGTATCAAGAGAGATTCGAACACGAGCATCACCTGGCAGCTGGAATGCAGTGCGGTGGTAGAATGTACGGGTGACAGGCACCAAGCGGCGAGTAAGGACGCGGTACTGAATCTCGCGAGCCAATTGCTCTAAATCATCAATCTCCGACGGGCTTTTCTTACCCTCCTTGCGCATCTTGTCGAAGATCTGCTCAACTGTCATGCGGCCATCGAGATAGGCATTGACGTTCTTCTCCTTGAGCACGAAACGCGCCTTGACGGACTTTTCTCCCGTCCAGTCCTCGCGGTGGGTTTTCCGCTCCACGAAGATCTGGTCACTCTCCATTCCACCGTACCAACGCAGTCGAATTGCCTCGGCGCCTTCTGTTTTCTTCAAGCGACCCTGATACAGTTCCCAAGTATCCGTGTTGTCATAGTAGATAGAGGAGATAGCCGTATCCTTCTCCTCGAACTCCTTGCTGGCATTGAAGACCAACACAGGCAAGTGCTTCAAGATCACCAGCTTCAACTCCGTAATATTATCCCGATGCACCCAATATTTTGTGGTCTGACGCACAAAATTTTGTTGGGTACCACCGGCAGACGCGTCACCTTTAACCGGGTTACCCTTGGTCCGGACCAGGTCATAGAGCTTGGATAGTTTAATCACGAAAGCGTCGTAGTTATCCTTGAAGAACGGCTTTGCCTTCAGACGTGTCGCGAAAACAGGCTTGAGGTACCATTCAGTTTCTTTCTGTGCGATTGTTAGCGAATTCGGGGGGGGGCCGAGTTGAAAATTGGAAGGAGCACATACGTCATGCTTCTTGATGATCTTCTGGAACCCGGTGTAGTTCAATTGAGTGAATTTGGCCAAGTCATGAACATCGGCAATAATGTCACTGAGTACCTGCTCAAGCAGCAAGAAATCCGCATCGGTGGGCGCGGGGCGAGAAGCTCGAATACTCTGGCGACGGGAATCGGTCGAGCTGTCCAGACGGGAGACGACATCGTTTACCTCGAGCTCGCTTTCTTGGATGCGGGCGACGATCTCCTCGCTTTTGCGCTTCTGGAAAAGGAACACCTTCTCTAGCTCACTCTCGAGCAAGGAGACGAAGTGCGTCTCATCGTCCTCGGTCCATTCTTTGCGGGCGGGCTTGGTGTTATCGGGGGTTGGCTCGTCCACGAAATCTGTCTTGAGAGCTTCCTTGAGATCATCGTAGGCAATGTAGTAAGGATAGAATTCCTTAATCATGGAAGAACGGAGATATTCACCGAACCTGTGAAACAATCGAGTCAGTACGTTCGAGGCGCGGGGAGTGGAATGGCTGAAAGATAACGAGATTGGGATTGCGAGTTACATACCTCATGGTGGCGGCTGGGAGAAATGTGAAGAGGAGTTTGTGTTGATCCCAAGCTCATGACGGGAAAGAGAAGAAAAAAAAAAAAAATAACCCGGCGAGGGGAGCAGGGAGGCCAAATTCGGAGGGTTCTAGCTCTCCGAAGGCAGGTCAAAGAGGTTATAATGGGGCCCCCGAACTCGGCTAGTCCGATGACTAGCGGATGACGGCCCCATCTTCTTTCTCATCGAGGTGTGCTAAGAGTTAAGGCGATACAATCTGATCTAGTTTATTTGAATTAGAGGTGGTTGACTTGGTAGGTAGCTGAGGAATGCCATTGGAATGTGCTATTTAGGTATAATAAGGTCAACCCTCCTTTCAATGGCTATATATTGGTGAAAAGGAGAATGATGCTGGCGATCTAGATGTACATCTGGTAATTTTGGTAATTTTGGTATGGTAACTTTGTCTCCCCCATACCTCCACCCCTTTGGTGACGTTAACAATCTGACCAGTCATCAGCGCACGTGGGCACCTTTGTCTCGCTCTCTCTCTCTCTAGATTGTGTCAGGTCTTCTCTGTGTCTACCTCATTTTATATTCCAATGCTCATTAATTTATTCTATATCAATGGATTATATGAAGAAGTACAATCTACAGAACCAAAGACTATTACACTTTCCAATCTTAAACATTCCTTCCAATCTCTTATTCGATGCTTGTTGCAGGACAGGGATATGAGTCGCCATATGCAACACGATCAAGCCCCACTCGGGGCATTGTGCTTGTTAGGTCTAGATGCATGTGAGTTAGTACTTTTTCATCTAACTATGTCTTAGTCTAACAAAGCCAGCAATTTTGCGGAATCCATGAAATTGGAAAATATTAGGATCAATCTACAACGTACAACAATTCTGAGACCGAATCCCATAGCATTATACATAAAAACACCAACGCCAGAACACCCTCAGTCAGAGATGACATGCAGCCTAATCTATCATCACATCATGGTATCATCGCAGCCACCTAGGACATGCTCATGGCCGCCCGGCGGATACTGCGACGAGCACCCTCACCGAAGACATTCACTGAGCCCTCCGTCTCCAACGAGCGCACCGCATCACCGAACTGGTTGTGGTCGAGTTTGTTGTCGCTCTGCTCGCTCACATCGCGATACAGGTCAGTCCAGCGGACTGCACCGCCACTCACTCCGCCACGTTCATCAAGGCGGGACAGCACTGCCTTCTTCAAGTCGTCGCGGAGACGACGGTCAGCGGCACTGCTACCTTCGGTCAGAAGGCCCATATCGATGAGACCGGTTCGGGCATCGGTGGCTGCCGCCTTGATGGCGGAGCGGATGAGACGCACGGCTTCCTCAACATCGCCTACGGTGACTTCGGTGGACAGACGCATGCGAGCGTGCGCCTCGGAAAGTCGGATCATCGATTCCAGCTGTCGAGTGGTGGCAGTGATACGGCGCTCTTGGGCGCGGATGTCATCGCCTAGCTGGCGCATAGCCACGTAGGCATCGGTGAGTGCAGCACCGGCAGCTGGGGTGATCACAGGGTGGCAGTTGGTCTTGGCGTATGTAATGTAGGCTGTAAGGAATTCGATGGGCTAGGTAGAACTGTTAGAAATCTCGCCAATTGATCGCACCGAAAAGGTCACTTACCAGAATCTCCTGTGAGCTGGCATTCTCAGGGTTATCCTCCAGATACATGCCAACCAAGTGCTTGGCCAAGCGACGATCTTCCGTCTCGTCGACATGGTCAAGAACCAAGTACACCAGGTCGAAACGAGAGAGCAGAGTAGGCGGTAAATCAATGTTCTGTGGAACAGCCAGTCTAGGGTTGTACCTACTGCCGATGGGGTTGGCAGAGGCCAGGATGGATGTTCGGGCGTTCAGGGTAGTAATAATACCGGCCTTAGCGATAGACACGGTCTGCTGTTCCATGACTTCGTGAAGGACGGAGCGCGTGGAGTCGTTCATCTTGTCGAACTCATCAATACAGCAAACACCACCATCGGACAGAACTAAGGCACCGGATTCGAGAACCATTTGGCGAGTCTCCGGGTCACGGGTCACGTAGGCAGTCAAACCAACAGCCGATGAACCCTTACCACTGGTGTAGACACCGCGTGGGGCGAT